GACAGCTCTTTGGTCTTCACCATAGTGGAGTTTGGAGTGTGACTGTTTGAGGTTGTGGACAGGTGTCTTTTATACTGATAACAAGTTCAAACAGGTGCCATTGATACAGGTAATGAGTGCAGGACAGAGGAGCCTCTTAAAGAAGAAGGTACAGGTCTGTGAGAGCCAGAACTCTTGCTTGTTTGTAGGTGACCAAATACTTATTTTCCACCATAATTTGCAAATAAATTTGTTTAAAATCAGCCAATGTGATTTGTCTGGATTTGTTTTCTCATTTTGTCTCTCATAGTTGAGGTCTACCTATGATGCCAATTACAGGACTCTCTCATCTTTCTAAGTGGGAGAACTTGCACAATTGGTGGCTGACTAAATACTTTTTTGCCCCACTGTACAACTTTTTAATAGAAATGAATAGGTCAGTACCTGTCTTAACATGCTTAATACTGAAATCCTCTCAGAGCTTGTATCCATAGGTCTATATGACATCTCAAACAATATGATTCCCAGACTGAAGAGGTCCACTTTCTAAACATAAAAAGATAGACATTGTATTGGAGGGATTCATGTACCAAATGCACAGCATTCTGCTTATGGTTATATGAGAAAGACAGTTGCAAAGCATTCTGGCTATCAAAAATGTAATCAGTTCACGTGTACATATTTTAATTACCTGGTTATAAGAAGCTTTGGTGCTCCCTTGGACCTCTGGACTCACATACAAGGCTGTACCCACCATTCCAGTGAGTTTTCCTAGGAAAGATATGTGTTATTCAGCCCAGTTTCAGACAGATGATGTGCCAAAATAACATATCAGTGACTGAAATATGTAGCCAGCTCTAGGCAATCCCTCTTAGATGTACCAATCTGTAGTGGACATGCCTACCAGTCTGGATAGTAAATAAATGGATAGGTGTTTTCTCTCAACTACGCACTCCTTGCAACCTCTCCAACACCCCTTTCCCGCTCTCAGATCACAACCTTGTCAGTTTCACCCTATCCCCAACCCTGAATCCACCTACATGGCACACTGTCACCCAGAGAAACCTTTGCCACCTCGACCCTTCTCTTCTCTGCTGACTACCTCTATGACAAAATCTCACCCCTGTCCTGCCCTGACCTGGCTATTTCTGTCTACAACAGCTCACTTTCATCCTCTCTAGACACTTGTCTCCCCTCGCGCTCTGAAACGACTGTGGCAAAAAACTAGGCTTCTGCAAGACTTCACCCTGTACAAAGCTGCCCTCCTAAAATATAATTCCTTCCTTCGTGCTGCCAAACAGACTTATTTCGTCACTCTCATTAACACACTTTCATCCAAACCTCGTCAACAGTTTTCTACTTTTAACTCTCTACTATGTCCTTCACCGCCACCACCCACTAACTCACTCACTGCCCAGGACATTGCGATTCATTTAAAAAACAAAAGAGATACAATTCGGGATCAGATCGCCACCGTGCAGTCACCTTCCTCTTTTCATGTACCAGACCCACCATCACACTTGTTACTTTCCTCTTTTGACCCTGTCACCACAGAGGAGGTTACAAAGCTTCTCTCTGAAACCCACCTCACCACTTGCCCCCTTGACCCTGTTCCCTCACCACTACTTCGGTCACCCTCTTGCTCTATCCTACGCTCTCTTACTCACATTTTCAATCTCTCACTCTCTACTGGCATTATTCCCTCCCCTCTAAAAGCATGCCCTGGTCACCCCCTACCGACCTCAACAATCTCAGACCAATCTCCTTACTCCCATTCACCTCCAAACTCCTAGAACGCCTTATCTACAGCCGCTTGAGTCGCCACCTCGCCGATATCCTTCTTGACCCCTTACAGTCTGGCTTTCACCCCTACACTCCACTGAAACCGCCCTCCTAAAACTCACTAATGACTTACTAACAGCTAAAAACAATGGCCACTATTCCTTACTCTTGCTATTAGACGTTTCTGCGGCTTTTGACACTGTTGACCACCTGCTCCTCCTCCAAAAACTCCACCTCGCTTGGCCTACAAGACTCTGCTCTCTCGTGGTTCTCCTCCTATCCAAGTGGAACTTTAGCGTCACCTTCAACTCTAACTCCTCCCCTCCTCTTGCACTTTCTGTAGGGGTCCCCCAAGGCTCTGTCCTTGGACCCCTTCTATTCTCTATCTACACCTCTATCTACATCTACACCCTCGGTCAGCCAATAACCTCACATGTAATATTGTGAATAAGTTGCGCTTGATCTAAGTGAATGTGAATACCAGAGTAAAGAATAAATCATAAACACATAAACATCTATATAAATGCCGTAATCTTCTATCTCATTGTGTAATCGATACGTCAGTGTGTAAATGTCCAAGAAATTATTGAGGCATGTAATATATATGTGGAACATGTATTCATCCACCCCACAATATATCAACAAATATATGTGTGACAGACGCGCTGGGCTCACTTCATGTAGCTCGGAGTAATCTGTGACAAACAAAAAAATAATAAAGCAACCTAGTTGAAATCCTTATATAAATAACCCGTGGGTCTAGTACTCTTGCATGTGTAAACTTAATCTGGCGAACAACGATAGTGGTTTCAATACCTAGATTAAGCTGTATAAATGTACTGGAGGAAACTGTCAACACTCAGGATGAAAGGTAGAGTGCAAATAAATATTTGGACTTTTCCTAAGGAAACAAATGTAAGTACAATTACTTTAAGCTTAAGGGCTAGTTCACGCCAAGCGCGCTCCAGGAGCAGAGCAGTTACAGAACGGATCAAAACTGCGCCCAATGTATTCCAATGGTATTTTGGGCTCTAGTTCACACCGCAGCATTCAGTTCCAGAGCATGTAAAAAAACTGCAGCAATCCCTATTTTTTCTGCTCTGGAACGCATGTAAATGCATCAAAACCACATGCAAACGCCCTGGAACGCACTGAAAGCATGTCAAAAATGCGGCAAAACACACTGCACTGCGTGTGCAGAACCTCATGCAAATCTGGTCAGCATTTGGTGTGAACAAGCCCTCAGGTGGCTATATTTCATGAAAGCTGCAGTGCAGTTGTAACTCAACCACTTTGTAACAAGATGTCCAGATTTAAACAAGGAATGACACATTACCTTCAGGGTCAACTTTAACAAAGTCAGTGCGATCTTGGTCCTCTTCTTGTGTTGAGTCAGTCTATAAACAAAGCAAAAAAGAAAAGTCTAGCACAGCCAAGAAAATCGATCACAAAAAGTACCAGCACATGGCATTCCTTAATTAGGTGACATCCTATTCTGTATTATATACACTGACCTCTTCCATCCAGAGTGAAAAAGAGATTGTATTGTTATAGCATTCTACTGATGTCAAAGAGTAGAGGAAAACAGTGAAATGTGAAAATGTTATGTAAACACTTACTACATAGGCTGGGTGATCTGTGGCCAGACCAAAATCTCCTATTTTCACCTGATCTTCTGAATCTAAGAAGATGTTAACAGGTTTTAGATCTCTGTGAATCATCCCCTGTAATGCAAAGAAGAAAATTGTCATCTAGTCTGTAAACCATAAAACATACTTTAGGCTTTTTTTTTTTACACTTTGAGGGAACCTGCTCTAACCGAAAGTGTCAAAGGAAACAATGCTGTACCTGTGGGGTTGAAAAAAAGAGGCTGCAGGAGCTAACAAAGAGAGGTCAAGAATAAGTGGCTAGAGCAGATGTGCTCAGTGAAGAGGGGGTGAAAAGTCTAAGTAAATGCACACAGAGGAGATGGATGAGATCATTCTAAAGATTTTTACAGAGGAGACAGGTGAGGTGATCTGAGCTGCACATAGAAGGCAGGGGTGAACTTGTCTGAGGAACTGAACACAGAGAAAAAGGGTGAGAGGCCCAAGAAGCTGCACACAGAGGAAAGGAGTGATGTGGTTTGGGGATCTGTACAAAGAAGAGGTGAAAGACTGCAGGAGTTGCTCATAGAGAGAACATGTGGGGTTGGGTTTGTTACTGAGGTATAATGGACAGGAGCTGTGTGTGCTGGAGGGTGGATCTCACTGGCCATGCATGTTCTCCACACATACATTGAAAAGTAGATTTTAACACAAACAAAATCGTGGGCAACCCTGCCTTAGATTTTATGTCCAGGCTGCACACTCTGCCTGAGGCGAGACTCATTCCTTCCCTGGCACTCATTCCATTTGGCACTAAACTCCAACCTTGACAATCAAATGTCAGGGTCTCAATGGACAGTAAAGGCTCCAGCATTTGACAGCTGAATTAAATAGGTGCAGGCCTAGTGCCAGGAGGAATAGAGTTTTAAGAAGAATTCCAGTCATGTAAAAAAATTAACCTCTGCAATGGGGCAACCCCCGCACTGCGAAGGGTTAAGTCATCGTTTTGGTCTAGTGTCTGAAATAAAGAACAGTAGAAAGGCATCATGGCACACTCACAAACCAGCATGTAAAACAACTTGTCTCACCACTAAGGACAATGACAGAGGTTTGGATACACGTCTTCTGCAAAGGATGTGTAAGCCGCACTGCCGCGCCAAGGCACCTCTTATAGTGCGGTCCTAACTCTAAACTATGAGAGTCTCCATCTTGGAGCACATGGGGGCAGAAGATATAAAGAAGACACACTGGAATAAAGAAGACACACTCACCTGACCAATCACCTCTCTCCCCCTCCACTCCAGCTGTGGAATGTCCCCTGGTGTCCTCACATCCAATGCAAGTCAATGGACGTGATGATGGCACGGATCCTTAGACCTCCCGAGCTGGGGGAGAAGAGGCTGCTGGGACTGGTCTAGCCGACAGGTGGGACCGAAGATCAGGTGGAGTATATATTTTTTATTTTAAACCATAGACCAAAACGAGGACTTAACCCAAATAGAGTTTGAATCCACCAACGGGGAAAAAAAACTGCGATAAAAACCTGACAGAAGTTCGAACACTCCTCTACTATAGAAACAACTTTAATCTCAACTTAAAAAGATGTCAAAATCCTGTCTAGTGCTTGGACTTTGCACCAAGGTGGGTTCTATGGAAAAACAGGGATTACTATGAAGACTAGACAGGTACACATTTTCTGTCCTTCAGCACTGTTGCCTTTGACAATTTTAAGCCATATTAGGTTCACTTTAAACATGGGAAAAAAACTGTTTAATAAACATCCAGCTAGGGGCAAATAACCATAGATTCTGACACAATATTGCTCCATCTGTGTTTTTTTAATGCAGGGTAAACCTTAGCAAAGCAATCATTGTAAATTACTATATCAATCTCACCTTTTATTTTTACACAGGCAGGTGAGGAATTACTTTTTTAAATAGCAGGCAAGATGCAAATGCCAATCCATCCAACTAAAGTTAGCACGAGCGTTATAGTATGTTCCGCCACACTTGGATCATGTCATTATGTTGTCACTAATTTCCACATTTACCTGTTCATGGATGTAGGCCAGGCCATCTAAAATCTCTCGAAAGAGCCTCCAAAGACGACTGGTGTCCAGATATAAACCTTGATCTATAGTATCCCGTAAAGTGCTTTTTTCACAGTATTCCATCTTAAAGCAGAAAGACAGCCTTTTAGAAGGTTTCCAGTTTTCAGACCTATACTGCCCACCATCCAGAACTCTCTGTGGCAGTAGTGGAGTCTCACTGTCACAACACCATTGAGCATTTCTCCAGGATGAAGAATCACTCAGCACTTTTCTGTAGTTATTTTATAATATTGAGGGAAATATTATTGTTAGTGTACACCATCTTGGCAACAGAAAGCCGCAGTGTGAAGATATCCAAAATTGTCGTCCCAGAATTCATTGACAAATAAAGCCTCAATGCAAAAGGGGTAGACATACCTGTGAGAGAATATGCAGACCACCACTGCTGACCTCATATCTAAAAAATACTATATGTCTAATTGTAATGCAGATTAATTGGATTGAATACATTCTGAGGCACTGACTTAAGCATGTATACCGATAAGGAGTTGTTCTGACTGCACTCTGTATACTGTACATGCTTGACCCAGGTCAGGGAATTAAAGTACTGAGAATTTGCAAAATTATTGCATATAACAGTCTGAAATGTTCACCACGGATTTGCTGTACAGCCCAATTGTCACAAACCTAAGCCATATCATGAAACAAGTGAAACAATGCTTTTACGAAACTTTTTTAATGCGGTTTATGTTTTTAGCTAGCAAGTTCTGCGGTTCTGTTCAGACAAATGCCTTCTTTTCACAGCAATCCAATGAGTATTAACAGCAACCAATCCTAAAACATTCTTTTTTTTCAAACAAACCAGTATAAGGACTACCATCCAAGGGCAGATTATTCATAATGAAGATTACGTCTGCCCTATTTCAACCTGCAGTAACAACTTTCTCCCAATAGTTTCTTTCTCCTAATAGAGAACAATAGACAATTATTAACAATAAGAACAAAAAATTAAGAACAATAAGAATTAAGAACAATAGAGAACTTTCTCCCAATAGAGAACATGGAGTAACTATTGAGCAACACTACAAATATTTGTATCCTGGGAAATCCCCACAATTTAAAACTAGCACTTTCTGCACTCACAAGTGATTGCCATCATTCAGTCTCCACAATGTCCACATGCCTCAAACAATGGTCATATCATTTTATGAGGGCATGTGTAGCCAGTATTAGGAAAGAGGTCAGCAATGGTCACCCACACGTCCCTCAAAAAAGGTTTTTATTTAACTGCCTCCGGGCCGGCCATAGTAGAAAAACGGCCGGCCCGGAGCTCTCTAGATCTGAGCGGGCGTCTCTAGACGTCCGCTCAGACACGGGAAATTGCCGTTTTTTTTAAAACAGGCAACGATGCCTGATACCATACAAGCGATCCGCCGGCTTTAGAGCCGGCGGATCGCGTGTATGGGGTGCCGATCGGTGCCCCATTTTGCTGCTTGCAGGGATGAACTGTTGCCCTTTAGCGTGCCCTCCTCCAGTGATTTCCATACTCCCCCCTCATCACCCCATCCACAGCCACTGACCTTATCTGCTGGCTGTCTTCTGGGTCTCCTACCGGGCAGCCACTGATTTAGAAGAGAACTATGGCAAACCTTTTTGGTGCAAGTTCTCTTTTGGGTCACAGGAGGACATTTAGTAGGAGCAAGACGAAGTTTTTTGGCAGACTACACATCCTTTCTGCCAAAATTCTCTAACTTGTAGCATTTTTTTTATTTACAGACTTTATTTCCACCTTAAGAACTTTAACTGAGAACAGAAGTGCCAGTACATACAACACAAGTCTAAAAACACCTACATTCTCATACAAATATAAATGATCAAGGAATTATCCCAATAAAAATGTTAAAATCCACCTGACACTATCACACCTGAATGTAGAGGTAATGCACAGCCACTTTGAAGAGCAATTCTTTGTGCTCTGCTGCTTTGCCTTCAACACACTCTTCAACCTGTTTAGAAAGACAGTATTCAATACAACAAAATATAAATAATTCAGGTCAGGCTGGTAAAGATAACAAAGATAAGAGATTCATTTAGATATATACACTGTTCTTTACAAGTGAACTCCAACGCTCACCAGCTAAACAATATACGTTGCAAATCTTATTGCAGAATTACATCTGTTTTTATAGGTTTCTACACAAGTTCCATGTGGCTTATTAAAGTACATGTACATGTTAAATTTAGTTTGCTAAAGCACTGTGTATCAATAGCCATTTTTTTACAAAATACTGTTTTTACTTTTTTCGTCCTTTCTTGCCTATCAAGACTGCTGAACTTCAGCATTATCTTTACAGCTATTTCCTGTCTACATGTATGCCACAACTACATACATTCAAGCTGGAGATGGCTGAGAATCCTCACGTGCTGCAAGGAACTGTTCAGAGCTGAATACTCACATCTGGGTCTATTCTATACAGTATATACAGGTGGATTTTGTCTTTTCAATCCAACCACTGAATGTGGTACCTAGACATTCTAACCCAATATCAATCTCTAAAGAAAGAGTTGAGATTATGTTGGTGTATACTGGCACTTGAAGAGAACCAACAAAAATACCCATTATCCAGTCCCTGCATTCTCAGGATAAGACAACTGCTGTGCCATTATTAGAAACCCTTGGATCACCAACAGCAAGGATGAATGGTAACTTTCTGGTGCACCAATAGTAGTAGTTTTAGGGATTTGTCTTTATTGCAAGCATAATGCAATTTCACATTATTATAAGTTCATGTTAAACATAGTCTTTACCTGATCAGGACTGTTTTCATCCTCATTTTCAAAAATAATTTCACTATCAGAGTCCGATCCTGGCCTAGAAGAAAGATGATATCGATCTGCATTACTAGCTGGTAAGATATCTGAACTAAAGAAAAAACATTTTTGAATGGAGTTCTATTTTAATCAACTTGTGACCAAACTGTAAGCTACACTGCTGCAATGCTATCTTTTTCATGGATTGCAACAGGATGAAACACAAGCTCGACAAAAGACTTACAAGAAAGATGGTGAAAAGACGCCCTCTTCATCATCATCCTCATCACTGGAATCATGATCAGAGGTGTTACAATGGGCACTGGAGGACCGCTCACAGGAGGTACTCCACTCAACAGAGCTGCTCATAATTGGGGCTGGAGCATTGGCTTCCACATCATCTATCAGTCCAAGTTCATTCTTTGCAGACTGTTCTGTCTTTATCTGCACCTTCTTCTCTCCACATATTGCAGGAGATTTAGGAGCAGCAGAAGATGGGAGTTCATGCTTCTCAATCCAGGCATTGTAGTATCGCACTATGTTCTCATGGTTCAGTCTAGACAGTAATGTCACCTCGCCTTTAATTCTCCTGAACTGCTTGCTGGCAGGGTTAATCTGAACTCGTTTTACTGCATAGTAGCAGCCATCCAGCTTATTTTGAACCTGTAACAAAACACATGATACAAGAAATTTAGTGCAAAATGTAATACTTTCACCATCACTGAAAGACTTTGGCATTTGACAAGGCACTGGGCATGCAAGGTCTTAGCTTAGTTTTTTAGGAGGCTTGTATGTCTAACTTAAAGACATGCACTAAATACTCAAAATTATAAGTCCTCGGCTTATAGCAAATTCGGAACTTGCACAATAGGAGGGAAAGAGAGAGCGAGAGAGCGAGCGAGCATGAGCGGGGGAGAGCGAGCGAGCATGAGCGGGGGAGAGCGAGCGAGCATGAGCGGGGGAGAGCGAGCGAGCGAGGGCGGGAGAGAGAGAGCGGGGGAGAGAGAGAGCGAGCGAGCATGAGAGAGAGAGAGAGAGAGCGAGAGAGAGAGAGAGAGAGAGAGCGAGAGAGAGAGAGAGAGAGAGCGAGAGAGAGAGAGAGAGAGAGAGAGAGAGACGGGAGAGAGAGCGAGGGCATGAGCGGGAGAGAGAGCGAGGGCATGAGCGGGAGAGAGAGCGAGGGCATGAGCGGGAGAGAGAGCGAGGGCATGAGCGGGAGAGAGAGCGAGGGCATGAGCGGGAGAGAGAGCGAGGGCATGAGCGGGAGAGAGAGCGAGGGCATGAGCGGGAGAGAGAGCGAGGGCATGAGCGGGAGAGAGAGCGAGGGCATGAGCGGGAGAGAGAGCGAGGGCATGAGCGGGAGAGAGAGCGAGGGCATGAGCGGGAGAGAGAGCGAGGGCATGAGCGGGAGAGAGAGCGAGGGCATGAGCGGGAGAGAGAGCGAGGGCATGAGCGGGAGAGAGAGCGAGGGCATGAGCGGGAGAGAGAGCGAGGGCATGAGCGGGAGAGAGAGCGAGGGCATGAGCGGGAGAGAGAGCGAGGGCATGAGCGGGAGAGAGAGCGAGGGCATGAGCGGGAGAGAGAGCGAGGGCATGAGCGGGAGAGAGAGCGAGGGCATGAGCGGGAGAGAGAGCGAGGGCATGAGCGGGAGAGAGAGCGAGGGCATGAGCGGGAGAGAGAGCGAGGGCATGAGCGGGAGAGAGAGCGAGGGCATGAGCGGGAGAGAGAGCGAGGGCATGAGCGGGAGAGAGAGCGAGGGCATGAGCGGGAGAGAGAGCGAGGGCATGAGCGGGAGAGAGAGCGAGGGCATGAGCGGGAGAGAGAGCGAGGGCATGAGCGGGAGAGAGAGCGAGGGCATGAGCGGGAGAGAGAGCGAGGGCATGAGCGGGAGAGAGAGCGAGGGCATGAGCGGGAGAGAGAGCGAGGGCATGAGCGGGAGAGAGAGCGAGGGCATGAGCGGGAGAGAGAGCGAGGGCATGAGCGGGAGAGAGAGCGAGGGCATGAGCGGGAGAGAGAGCGAGGGCATGAGCGGGAGAGAGAGCGAGGGCATGAGCGGGAGAGAGAGCGAGGGCATGAGCGGGAGAGAGAGCGAGGGCATGAGCGGGAGAGAGAGCGAGGGCATGAGCGGGAGAGAGAGCGAGGGCATGAGCGGGAGTGAGAGCGAGGGCATGAGAGGGAGAGAGAGCGAGGGCATGAGCGGGAGAGAGAGCGAGGGCATGAGCGGGAGTGAGAGCGAGGGCATGAGAGGGAGAGAGAGCGAGGGCATGAGCGGGAGAGAGAGCGAGGGCATGAGCGGGAGAGATGTGCTCCAAGATGGAGACCATTATAGGTCTCTTCTTCGGCCAAAACTCTCCCCATTTCTTCCTCATAGTAACTTTTGTCCATTATTACAACACCCGACGCCTTTATCTGCTGGTCTCAGAACATCCCCATAGGTAGGTGTCACCATCCTAAATGGGTGGAGAATATCCCAAAAGGTCAATTCGTTAGGGTCAGATGGAACTGTACCATGGAGAGGGACTACGTGATGCGGGCAGAGATATTGTAAGAGAGGTTCAGAGATAAGGGATATAGTCCCCATATAATGAATAAGATTAAGGATGGGGTAGGACGGTTAGAAGGGGATCATTTTTTGCGGAATAGGACTAGTACTGATAGGAAGAATTTGGAGTTTCCATTAGCCTTTATAACAGAATACAGTGTCCAATATAAAGAAGTAGAGAAAATGATTAGTAGACATTGGGATATTTTGAAATTAGATAACATCTTAGAACCTCGGATCCCCAAAAAGGCACGAGTGATTTATAGGAGAGCCCCGTCCCTTAGAGACATGCTGTTACATAATGTTATACACCCACCCCCTAAGGTAAAAAATTATTTTGGTACTAAGGGCTTTTATCCCTGTAAAAATTGTGTAGGATGTAGGGTGACTAAAAAACAGGAGGGGAATAAAACAAACACATTTTGAACCCCTTTATAAAAGGAATTTTGAAATAATAGGATTTGTTTCACCGTACATCCTTTGTGACCTATGTATTGGAGTGCCCGTGTGGCCTCCAATATGTAGGAAGGACGACAAGAGAATTGAGGATTAGGATTAGTGAGCATGTTAAAAATATAAAAAATGGGTTTGAAGCACATAGTGCAGTGGTGGCGAACCTTGGCACTCCAGCAGTGCCAAAACTACAAATCCCAACATGCATCTGCCTTGGGGAGTTATGTCTGTGGCTGTCAGAGCCTTGCAATGCCTCATGGGACTTGTAGTTGCAAAACAGCTGGAGTGCCAAGGTTCGCCACCGCTGACATAGTGTATCAAAACATTATAAAGAAGTTCACAATAAAGATCCCTCTCCTTTAGTGTTTTATGGAATTGATAGGGTGTATGGACATTGGAGGGGCATCAATAAAACTCGAATGATATCTCGGAACGAGACTAAGTGGATTTTCCTGCTGGATACACCTAAACCGAAGGGGCTGAATGTGGAGCTAGATCTTAATTGTTTCATTAGTAACAGCTAATTATTTATGCTATGTAGCGAAATAAGATGAGTTGCATATAAAATGGTACTTCTGTTCTTGCTAGGTCTTATTATATTGTTTTTATAATATGTTTTTATAGTTTGGTTTTACAATTTATGTATATATTGCCTTGGGAATACTAATTTGCATGTGCGGGGTATATTTGAATATTTTATTGATGAGGGTTTACAGGATGGATAGCTGCGATGTGAACGCCACCCTTGAAAAAGTCCATGAGAACGAAACGTGTCGGGACAAGCGTGTACGTTGCTGCTATCCTGTTCATTCCATTGTGGAGCTGCGTTAGGACCATTATCACCTGCTGAACATTGTGAGATATACCCCTTTGTGGGTTACAAGTTCTATCCACTTTTCATTGATGCAAGTTTTTATTGTTTTTTTCGCAAAATACATTTTTAAAGATTTTATGCTATGTGCTTTGTTTTTTTATCGGTGAGCTAAAATCCCGGCTACGATCCATTTGTATGAGAAGTAAGGAGATCGTTTACTGATTCATTCAAGGTGTCGAGTGAGGAAAGAAAGAGTTTGCGGTTGGACAGGATACACTGTTTCTTTCAAATCAGTGTGAGGCATTGAATGCACGTGTGGAGAAGAGAGAAAGAAGGTCTGTTTGAAGCCATTACTTTGTTGAAAGTAGCGTCCTGTGATCACTGCGATTTGACTATTTGGTTCTGGTGAGTGGGGAGCATTGTTTTTTCTTCGGAGTGGGATTATATGATTACACATACACATTTCTTTCATCACTACTTGAACTACTTGATAACGAGTTATCTTTGTCCTGTGAGGATCGGATGAAGTTTTGTACTTTATATAATTTATATGGACTTTAGTTATATAGTTATTATTGATTATCTTAATTATTAATTTATGTACACATTTTTCACATTGATTGTTGAGTTATGCTGATTGATTTGCATATCTTCAAATAATAATGAGTCACACATTTCACATTGTTCAATATTTTTCGCACCATACTTATTGTATTTTATGTGTACGCTTGATATACGGTGGTATACACACATAAGTACAGCACACTACCCCCGTAGCACAAAAAATTAAGAGCTGTGTGTCCTGCTGAAGACATTATCGGTCACCAATGGGTTTCCTCCAGTTGCTATTCGGACTTCACCAGTGCGTGTTTTTTAAGCTGGCCAGCGGGCTGAATACTGGGGATGTTTTGTATTTGATATACCCCACTTAAATCTGAATGAAGCCCTTCCATTTATAATGTTCTGAGACCTGGTACAGCTTTAGCCAACCCTGAGACTTTTGCCAAGCATGTGAGAATGTAGGAATTCTAGAACCAATTTATAATATTTGGACAGGAGAATGGTTCAAATTACCTTGATAACAGCCCCGAAGGCACCTCTACCCAGCATCTGTAGTTCTTCAAACTCATTAAAGTAGCGAGAAAATTGCCTCTGTGATTCTATGTGGAATAAAGCATTTGAAACAGAAGCACAGGGAATGACAGTCTCTGTGCAGTCTACTCCTGTGTAATCTCCTGTGTAAAAGAAAGGCATCCATAACTATTTTGTATTTTTGCATATTGCTCCTAAAATTTACATTTCATGCAAATACCAAATGTGACAAACAAAAACACACGGTTTTCAGTGTGCACCAGTATAAAGTGAAATATCTGGGCTACCATTTCTGAAGTCGTTCTGAAAACGCTTGTTGCTTAGCTATTATACTAACTTCAATACTTTCAGTCTCTGACCTGAAAAAGTTTAAGTATATCAATAAAGTCAAATATTTGCATACTTGTTTTGGCACTGAACTAAGGGATCAGCATAAAAATCAGCATGACAACCAGGCAACTGGCCTTTTCAGAAAGAGAGCTTAGACATTGCAGCCACTTTGCTGACGCTGTTAAAGATTTGCTTTAGGACTCACCTTCTGGGCTGTCCTCTGTGAGCGAACACTGTGGAGGAGTATTTATGAAGCTGTGACCCAACAATTGTTGCACACTCCACCGTTCCTGGTCTTCCAGACACACACAACTAATCAGATAAACAAATCATTAGTTCCATAAAGTAATACATAAAGATATGTGAATAAAAGTATATTCCCATCACACAACAAAAACACTGCATGACTCTTCTCACCCCATTTGACTTACCCCATGTAACTCCTTCCCATGTAACAGTGCTCTGCATGGCCATTCGGGTGATCAGTGCTATCGCATGGGGATAGGGAGAGTCCCTGGCATCTACAACCCCAAATCCAAAGTTGTTAGGACGCTGTGTAAAAGCTACATAAAAACATTACCTTTCTTAAAACGGTACATTTTCTTAGTTTAAACATTTGAAACGTTTTCTATAGTGAATAAAATATGGGTTTAACCCTTTCGCTGCCAAGGACGTACGGCGTACGGAGCTACAAAAGTGCTTCCAGCTGGCCAGCTGAGTATGCCGTACGGACCTGGCATTTACAGTTCTACTATAAGCTGATGATCGCTTTAGCGACCATCAGCTTATAGTAGAACTGTTCAGCAGACTGTCCCCTTTAAATTAATAGCTGTCATCAATAGCTGTCATCAGCTGATGACCGCTATTTTCAAAAATACCGGGCACCGCGCCCCCCCTGCCAGCATCTGGAGTCTCTCATCCCTCCCTGGAGCCATCCCAGGGAGGGATGAGAGACTCCATGGATCCCCGCTGCTTGTAGGGTCTGTGGCAGCGGGGATCCGTAAAAAAATCACCGGCGGGGGGTACGCTTGTAGGGGCTGCGGCAACGGGGATAAAACAAACATAACGCCAAACTTTTTCTATTGCACGGGACCAGTTGTCATTAAAATGAGAGCTTGTCGGAACTGGCGGCCATATCAAAGCCGGCTCCGACAAGCTCTCATGACAGTCCACTGTCCCCTGGTTACTAGGTAACCAGGAGATGCTGAAATGTCATTGCACACTGAGAACCCGGCGGAGCCGCTGGGATATAATGGCGGTTCCGCCAGGTTCTCAGTGTGTAATGG